TGAGTGCCATCCTGCCCTGGGCCTCCCCTGGCTCTGAGGGAATGTTCAAGGGGGCCCTGCTCATTCAGTCTGTTCTGAGTTGGACTGCACTCAGTATTCCTCCCTCTGTAGTTTGTGAGTGCTCAGACCAGGTGAGAGAAATGACAGGGTTCATTTTGTTTTTTTCTCTTTTTAGGACACAAGAAGTTGGGAATCCAATGTGTCAATATGTATGTCTTCCAGAGAGCCAATGTGCACATGGTGCTGTGTCTTGGTCTAGGTTCTGTTGCCATAACAAAAATACCTGAAGGTGAGTATTTTGTAAGAAATGGACATTTCTTGTCCTCGTGGTTGTGGAGATGGGAAATCTAAGAACTGGACCTCAGTGTTTGCTGAGTCCTCATGAGTCAGTGACCTCCCAGATGTTCTTCAGTTCTCGTTAACTCATAATTTTGGGAATGAAGTTTCCAACAGAGAATTTTCAGAGCACAGACACTGAAACCATACCATGAAGTAATTTTTAAAATTGAAACAAAATCACTAAGAGATGTCTACTTTTCTAAAGTGTCATTGATGTGGGTTTATTTTCAAGTTTCTCCTTTAGATCTCAGGCTGAGAATGTTGAGGTAGGAGACTAATATTTATGTACCTTATGTCCTGTAAGTTGCGTTGAATGCAAATCTGGTCTAATTAAGGATTTCATTATGAAAACCAAACCTATAGTATTTGAGAAGAAAATATTGGCCTACGTCTTGCTGACCATGAATGTGGCAATGATGTCTGGAAAACACTGCTGAAAGCAGAGTTTAGAGAAGACAAACTGGATGGTCAGGAAGTCATCTCCTTTTGCCTCAAAAAACATGAATGATGTACAACAGGAAGAAGGAGGTAGCAGAATAAGTGGAAAAAGTTTCTATTATCTGGAAACCTTCCTACGCCCACAATTTTTGAAGAAGCTGTTTCCATAACTTTAGAATTGTGCTCCAATCAAGATGGGATGCGCTGGGGATGTGACTCAAGGGGTACCGCGCTCGCCTGGCATGCATGCGGCCCAGGTTCAATCCTCAGCACCACATACAAACAAAGAAGCTGTGTCCGCCGAAAACTGAAAAATAAATATTTAAAATTAAGAAAAAAAAAAAGATGGGTACACATGTATCACTGCAGTGTGCTGACTTTATAACGTCTTTGGATAAAAATGCAAAATGGTACAGTTGACTGCAATGGTGATTCCTGTCCCTGTTTTTCAGAAACCTCCATAGTGATCTCCTCTGTGGCTGTGCTAACATACCCTTCTACCAAATGTGTCCAAGTGTTCCTTTCCCCAACATTCGCCTGATTTTAGCCGTTTTGGAAGTGGGATCAGCCTTGCTGTGATATGCCTGCTATATGGTTTCCACTTCTATTTTTTTAAATTCCATGCATTCAAATGTAGATACAGCTAAAGATATATGTCAGTGGTGTAAGGTGATGCAATACAGTGTGTGAAATGACATAGGGTTCCCTTTATCTTTGGAGCTGGCATTGTGGCTGAACAGTTCAATTCTCTGCACCACATAAAAATGAACTAAAGATATGGTGTGTCTACCTACTACTAAAAACTAATTTTTTTTTAAA